CCTACATCAGTGAGAGAGTGAGATAACCTACATCAGTGAGAGAGTGAGTTAACCTGCATCATAGTGAGAGAGGGAGTAAACCTACATCAGTGAGAGAGAGTTAACCTACATCAGTGAGAGAGTGAGTTAACCTGCATCACAGTGAGAGAGAGAGATAACCTACATCAGTGAGAGAGAGAGATAACCTACATCAGTGAGAGAGTGAGATAACCTACATCAGTGAGAGAGTGAGTTAACCTACATCAGTGAGAGAGTGTGTTAACCTGCATCAGTGAGAGAGTGTGTTAACCTGCATCAGTGAGAGAGTGTGTTAACCTACATCAGTGAGAGAGTGAGTTAACCTGCATCAGTGAGAGAGTGAGTTAACCTACATCAGTGAGAGAGTGTGTTAACCTACATCAGTGAGAGAGGGGGATAACCTACATCAGTGAGAGAGTGAGTTAACCTGCATCAGTGAGAGAGTGTGTTAACCTACATCAGTGAAAGAGTGAGTTAACCTGCATCAGTGAGAGAGTGAGTTAACCTGCATCAGTGGGAGTGTGTGTTAACCTGCATCAGTGAGAGAGTGAGTTAACCTGCATCAGTGAGAGAGTGTGTTAACCTGCATCAGTGAGAGAGTGAGTTAACCTGCATCAGTGAGAGAGTGTGTTAATCTGCATCAGTGAGAGAGAGTGTTAACCTGCATCAGTGAGAGAGTGTGTTAACCTACATCAGTGAAAGTGTGTGTTAACCTGCATCAGTGAGAGAGTGAGTTAATCTGCATCAGTGAAAGAGTGAGTTAACCTGCATCAGTGAGAGAGTGTGTTAACCTACATCAGTGAGAGAGTGAGTTAACCTGCATCAGTGAGAGAGTGAGTTAACCTGCATCAGTGAGAGAGTGTGTTAACCTGCATCAGTGAGAGAGTGAGTTAACCTACATCAGGGAGAGTGTGTGTTAACCTGCATCAGTGAGAGAGTGAGTTAATCTGCATCAGTGAAAGAGTGAGTTAACCTGCATCAGTGAGAGAGTGTGTTAACCTACATCAGTGAGAGAGTGAGTTAACCTGCATCAGTGAGAGAGTGAGTTAACCTGCATCAGTGAGAGAGTGAGTTAACCTGCATCAGTGAGAGAGTGTGTTAACCTGCATCAGTGAGAGAGTGAGTTAACCTGCATCAGTGAGAGAGTGTGTTAATCTGCATCAGTGAGAGAGAGTGTTAACCTGCATCAGTGAGAGAGTGTGTTAATCTACATCAATGAGAGAGTGAGTTAAGTTACATCAGTGAGAGAGTGAGTTAACCTGCATCACAGTGAGAGAGAGAGATAACCTACATCAGTGAGAGAGTGAGATAACCTACATCAGTGAGAGAGTGAGTTAACCTGCATCACAGTGAGAGAGTGTGTTAACCTGCATGAGTGAGAGAGTGAGATAACCTACATCAGTGAGAGAGTGAGTTAACCTACATCAGTGAGAGAGTGTGTTAACCTGCATCAGTGAGAGAGTGTGTTAACCTGCATCAGTGAGAGAGTGAGTTAACCTACATCAGTGAGAGAGTGTGTTAACCTGCATCAGTGAGAGAGTGTGTTAACCTGCATCAGTGAGAGAGTGTGTTAACCTACATCAGCGAGAGAGTGAGATAACCTACATCAGTGAGAGTGAGTTAACCTGCATCAGTGAGAGAGTGTGTTAACCTACATCAGTGAAAGAGTGAGGTTAACCTGCATCAGTGAGAGAGTGAGTTAATCTGCATCAGTGAGAGAGTGTGTTAACCTGCATCAGTGAGAGAGTGTGTTAACCTACATCAGTGAAAGAGTGAGTTAACCTGCATCAGTGAGAGAGTGTGTTAACCTACATCAGTGAGAGAGTGAGTTAACCTACATCAGTGAGAGAGTGAGTTAACCTACATCAATGAGAGAGTGAGTTAACTTACATCAGTGAGAGAGTGTGTTAACCTACATCAGTGAAAGAGTGAGTTAACCTGCATCAGTGAGAGAGTGAGTTAACCTGCATCAGTGGGAGTGTGTGTTAACCTGCATCAGTGAGAGAGTGAGTTAACCTGCATCAGTGAGAGAGTGTGTTAACCTGCATCAGTGAGAGAGTGAGTTAACCTGCATCAGTGAGAGAGTGAGTTAACCTGCATCACAGTGAGAGAGTGAGTTAACCTACATCAGTGAGAGAGTGAGTTAATCTGCATCAGTGAGAGAGTGAGTTAACCTGCATCAGTGAGAGAGTGAGTTAACCTGCATCAGTGAGAGAGTGTGTTAATCTGCATCAGTGAGAGAGGGTGTTAACCTGCATCAGTGAGAGAGTGTGTTAACCTACATCAGTGAGAGAGTGAGATAACCTACATCAGTGAGAGAGTGAGTTAACCTGCATCATAGTGAGAGAGGGAGTAAACCTACATCAGTGAGAGAGAGTTAACCTACATCAGTGAGAGAGTGAGTTAACCTGCATCACAGTGAGAGAGAGAGATAACCTACATCAGTGAGAGAGAGAGATAACCTACATCAGTGAGAGAGTGAGATAACCTACATCAGTGAGAGAGTGAGTTAACCTACATCAGTGAGAGAGTGTGTTAACCTGCATCAGTGAGAGAGTGTGTTAACCTGCATCAGTGAGAGAGTGTGTTAACCTACATCAGTGAGAGAGTGAGTTAACCTGCATCAGTGAGAGAGTGAGTTAACCTACATCAGTGAGAGAGTGTGTTAACCTGCATCAGTGAGAGAGTGTGTTAACCTACATCAGTGAGAGAGGGGGATAACCTACATCAGTGAGAGAGTGAGTTAACCTGCATCAGTGAGAGAGTGTGTTAACCTACATCATTGAAAGAGTAAGTTAACCTGCATCAGTGAGAGAGTGAGTTAACCTGCATCAGTGGGAGTGTGTGTTAACCTGCATCAGTGAGAGAGTGAGTTAACCTGCATCAGTGAGAGAGTGTGTTAACCTGCATCAGTGAGAGAGTGAGTTAACCTGCATCAGTGAGAGAGTGTGTTAATCTGCATCAGTGAGAGAGAGTGTTAACCTGCATCAGTGAGAGAGTGTGTTAACCTACATCAGTGAGAGTGTGTGTTAACCTGCATCAGTGAGAGAGTGAGTTAATCTGCATCAGTGAAAGAGTGAGTTAACCTGCATCAGTGAGAGAGTGTGTTAACCTACATCAGTGAGAGAGTGAGTTAACCTGCATCAGTGAGAGAGTGAGTTAACCTGCATCAGTGAGAGAGTGTGTTAACCTGCATCAGTGAGAGAGTGAGTTAACCTGCATCAGTGAGAGAGTGTGTTAATCTGCATCAGTGAGAGAGGGTGTTAACCTGCATCAGTGAGAGAGTGTGTTAACCTACATCAGTGAGAGAGTCAGTTAACCTGCATGAGTGAGAGAGTGTGTTAACCTACATCAGTGAAAGAGTGAGTTAACCTGCATCAGTGGGAGTGTGTGTTAACCTGCATCAGTGAGAGTGTGTGTTAACCTGCATCAGTGAGAGAGTGAGTTAATCTGCATCAGTGAGAGAGTGAGTTAACCTGCATCAGTGAGAGTGTGTGTTAACCTGCATCAGTGAGAGAGTGAGTTAACCTGCATCAGTGAGAGAGTGAGTTAACCTGCATCAGTGAGAGTGTGTTTTAACCTACATCAGTGAGAGAGTGTGTTAACCTGGATCAGTGAGAGAGTGAGTTAACCTGCATCAGTGAGAGAGTGAGTTAATCTGCATCACAGTGAGAGAGTGAGTTAATCTGCATCACAGTGAGAGAGTGAGTTAATCTGCATCACAGTGAGAGAGTGTGTTAACCTGCATCAGTGAGAGAGTGAGTTAATCTGCATCACAGTGAGAGAGTGGGTTAATCTGCATCACAGTGAGAGAGTGAGTTAACCTGCATCAGTGAGAGAGTGAGTTAATCTGCATCACAGTGAGAGAGTGAGTTAATCTGCATCACAGTGAGAGAGTGTGTTAACCTGCATCACAGTAAGAGAGTGAGTTAACCTGCATCAGTGAGAGAGTGAGTTAACCTGCATCAGTGAGAGAGTGAGTTAACCTGCATCACAGTGAGAGAGTGAGATAACCTACATCAGTGAGAGAGTGAGTTAACCTGCATCACAGTGAGAGAGTGAGTTAATCTGCATCACAGTGAGAGAGTGAGTTAACCTGCATCAGTGAGAGAGTGAGTTAATCTGCATCACAGTGAGAGAGTGTGTTAACCTACATCAGTGACAGAGAGTTAACCTACATCAGTGACAGAGAGAGTTAACTTACATCAGTGAGAGAGTGAGTTAATCTGCATCACAGTGAGAGAGTGAGTTAACCTGCATCACACTGAGAGAGCGAGTTAACCTAAATCAGTGAGAGAGTGAGTTAACCTGCATCACAGTGAGAGAGTGAGTTAACCTGCATCAGTGAGAGAGTGAGTTAACCTGCATCAGTGAGAGAGTGAGCTAACCTGCATCACAGTGAGAGAGTGAGATAACCTACATCAGTGAGAGAGTGAGTTAACCTGCATCACAGTGAGAGAGTGAGTTAATCTGCATCACAGTGAGAGAGTGAGTTAACCTGCATCAGTGAGAGAGTGAGTTAATCTGCATCACAGTGAGAGAGTGTGTTAACCTACATCAGTGACAGAGAGTTAACCTACATCAGTGACAGAGAGAGTTAACCTACATCAGTGAGAGAGTGAGTTAATCTGCATCACAGTGAGAGAGTGAGTTAACCTGCATCACAGTGAGAGAGCGAGTTAACCTAAATCAGTGAGAGAGTGAGTTAACCTGCATCACAGTGAGAGAGTGAGTTAATCTGCATCACAGTGAGAGAGTGAGTTAACCTGCATCAGTGAGAGAGTGAGTTAATCTGCATCACAGTGAGAGAGTGTGTTAACCTACATCATTGACAGAGAGTTAACCTACATCAGTGACAGAGAGAGTTAACCTACATCAGTGAGAGAGTGAGTTAATCTGCATCACAGTGAGAGAGTGAGTTAACCTGCATCACAGTGAGAGAGCGAGTTAACCTAAATCAGTGAGAGAGTGAGTTCACCTACATCAAAAATACACCCTTCCTGCTTGGCAATGGTCTGCAGGATCTTGGAGGAAACTGTGCTGGCCACCATACAAATATCATTGTCTGAAATGAAAATATCACAACTGTAATGCTGCTTCATAGATGCATTAATCAGTATCTGTACTGGTATTTTTTGTTATTATTGTTTTTTCGGATTTGCAGACACATTTTTAGAAACAAATTGAACTGATGAGAAAAATGAAGGGGGAGACATATGTTTTTATTACTAAAAACACATTCTAGTCGATAATCGTGATAGTAAATGATACTTCTTCAAGTGGCAGGGACAAAAGTGTGTTTTGAATTTTGAAGCTGTGAGGTGAGGTTAAGGGTGAGGTGAGGTGAGGTGAGGTGAGTCCTTCAGCAAGACAAGCGAAAGCTTTAACAACTAGGATACCCCACATCCCGACTTACTTTTGACATCTGGGTGACTTTTCCTGAAGGCGAAGAGACTCCACCACCCAAGCAGGGCCCCGATCTCATTTCCAGAGAAGATCCTCCACTCACCACTGAAACACAACTCTCCAACTTACAATCAGTCTGCACCACTTTACATCACTCAGTCCTACCCTATACAGAGGTCATTATGCAGATAAAGCAATCCCCCTTTGTAAAGTCTCCTGGACTAATTTTACAAGATCTTGAGTTGACCGTATTATCATCAATACAAGACAAGATTCATCAAAAGATGACAAATCCCCCCAGCCCCCACAAATTCGAAAAAACAAATATTATTACTGTTACTTTCAACTCCAACTTAATGAGAGAATTTCTATCTAATCTGTCTGTACATATACCCCCTTATGAGACTCAGTCCAAATTGTTTCCATGGAAATCATGAAAAATAAAAAAAGCCAAAAATCTGTAAACAGTAAGAGGCACCACTTCAAGATCTGTTTGATATATCTGCCAATTTTTGAGTTAAGCTTCGGAAGTGAAATGATTATGGACGGACGGACAGATGGACAGACGAGGTGTCAACTATATCTTCTTGCATTATATGCCGGGGGGGGTAAAAATGTCATCCAAGGACGTTTGGTTCCACTTACCTGGGCTGTTTCTCAGCTACTGCCAGTCTGTCTGCGTCAGGGTCATTGGCCAGGATTACCACGCTTCCATTAGCATCTGCCGTCTGCATTGACAATGTCTGAAACAGGCAGAGTTAATTAGTGAAAGTATACTGTGCAGACTTAAAAAATTCATTTATTCAGACTAGTTCAGACGACTAGTGGACAACTTACTGCACTAGTCCTCCCTGTCTTAATTAACTGTACCAGCTGTGTACACTGGTAGGACTCAAAGAGTTCTTAAACTGGATGCCAAGACAAATTAAAAGTGGTATGCCCAATCTCATTAAAATCAGATCTTAGTTCTCGCTACCGCTAAACAAAGATCTCAGGATAGACCTTGCGCGAACTTTGACCGACCAATGAAATGACTGACAAGAATTCCACATTAGCCAAACAGAAGGCAGCTTTCTCGTGGCTTTCGGCACTAATTTCAAATTGGCGACTACACTTCGAAACACATTTTGACAAATTCTCAATAAAAAAATTTAAACCTGAACAAAAAAACATTCTGGAATGGCTAAGAGATGGTCTAGATTGTATGGACTCAGTCGTTGAGCCTGTAACTATCGTTCGAGGTTGCAAGATTAGAAATCACATTCGGACTGTCACTTTCATGATCTGGTAAGCGACGCTCTGATTGGTCGGATGAAAGGTCGTTCTTAAGCACCCCCTAATGGGATGTGCTCAGATCTTTGTTTAGTGGTAGCGAGAACTAAGATCTGATTTTAATGAGATTGGTGGTATGCCAGATGCCGAAAGGGGATTTGCACCCTCATAAAACTCCTGTATACTGACCAATGCTCCCTTGCCCTCCTCTGGGTTGGGGTATTTCACTGTTGGGAACTCAGGATCTGGCACCACCTACAGGAACACAAGCACATTGGTCTTAATATGTCAAAATACTGGAATACTAAATATTACGATCATTGATATCCTGTATCCACACACACACAATTTATTTGTCTCTTCTTTCACTGTATTGATATTAGACTAGACGTGTGTTCTTTGGAGAGAACTTTACAAGTATATTTCAGTAATAAGGCCATAGCCCCATATACATAATAATTTAGAAATACATTTAATTGTTATTATAAGTCTTTTCTTAGCAAGTGTTTTTCTGGAATAAACAGCACACTGAGATAAGGTATTTTTATTACACAGTAGTAGCTGATTAAATTAAAACTTTTTTTGTCAATAAGTGTAAAAGAATGGCAAACATGTTTCTAAGAGCGGTAAAATGCAGACAGATTTACATAAAATGATATTCATCTTCAATTGTATTGAGGTTACATAATGTACTTAACCTTTTTGAATGCTAGGTGTTTTTGGGTAACAACATTTAGCATTAATTGTAATTCTCCAAATCTTCGTAAACACGTGACATGTCTGTAGGCATGTCAAACCAAGTAAATATATAACATTCAAGGTATAAAAGTGATATATAACCATTATAACCCTCATATTACACACCTTATATTATTATAATACCATTCCTGCTGACTGCAATCCTTTAACTGTTGGGTAATTATTTTTTACTGTACCTGTTCTTTGACTGGTACAGGAAGAGGAAAGCCGAACCTCTGCAAAGACTCGCACGTAAACTTGTACCCCACACCATGCATGGCAGTATAGGTGAAGGTCACTTTGGAGGACAGATTCTGATCTCTGCACAGAAGATATTCAATTTAAGGTGAGGTGAAATGGGGTGTAACACTGTGTTCAGTATTATTGCACTTACATAGCAATGTGCATCTGTGCGTGTGTCTGTGTGTCTGCTTGTACTAGTCCAGATTTATGGTGCTTGTTCACTGAGATGCTGTGTTGCAGTGTAACATGGATACCCCTCTCAGACACAGTACACTGACATGCTGAAACACCTTGTTTTAGCCCCTTATTCAGAGTTACCACCAAGGGCCAAGCAGGGTAACAAGTACCATATATAACATTTTTCGGCATGATATGGCTGGGGAATAAAAAAAATCGACCTTCCACTCTTCGTGAAAGATGCTGTATCCATTAGACCATGGAGGGGGTCATACAGAAGTCAGCAATATTCCAGCTTCGTGAGAGCATCCTTCAATCTGGATGAGCTAAACCAGTTAGTGATAGCATTTGCAATGATACATATTGTCAATAATGGAACCATTGTCCAGGTCATATTGTGGCCACCCAATCCCATTACAGTAAGATTGTGTACTGGTGACGTACTCTGCCCAAGGCCCCATTCCACAAAGCCATCTTAGCACTAAGGTGATCGTAGCTCCTATATTTTAACACTGGCTTACGATAGTCATATCGCTAAGATCGCTTTGTGGAACGGGGCCCAGGACTCCCCCAGTGCCTGACACAAGATACCTGAAGTGACAGAGATGATGGAGATCTTTGTTGTACAGATCAAATATCTCATCGTAGGGATCCCTCAACAGCTTGCTGTCAGCGACACAGGATGTATTCCAGGACGTGGGGAAAGGCTCAAGATGTTCTCTGATGGACGTCGCAATACCCTTGTCGATCGGAGGAATGATCTATAAGAAATGGATTTATTAATATTCAACAGTGAGAGAGTTGGATAGAACACTGCTTTGAACAGTATTTCAATTACTGACCACAGCATGCCAGTTTGATGTGGGAAGAAAGCCCCAAGTTTTGCATGTCTTAGACATTTAGCACTTTGTTGAAATCCATGAACATGGGTATGGTGCTGACAAACTTATAAACATAATCAGTTTGAATCAGGTATCCGAACCCATTCCGTTGCCTGTAAACATAATATGTTACCTACAAACCTAGTTTATTACCAGATAACTCAGTCTTTTACCTGTAAACATGGTAAACTTAATCTGTTACCTCACATTATCTGACCACTACCTGTATGCCAGTTTACTATGTGTTAACCAAGTTAGTTACCTGAGCTCCATTTGTCCAGTATACTTTATAGCCATTGTCTTCCTTTGGGTTGTGAGAGGCAGTGATCATGACCCCACCTGAAGCTCCATAGTGCACCACAGCATACGGCTTGAAGTATAGGAACAGAATAGGCAGTTAGCAAGTCGTCATTAATCATGTTAATACCAGGATGTGTGCAAAGGTTCACCACATTCACTGATGGACATCGCGACTCAAGCCAGCAAGAGTAACCACGACTTCTTCCACCCTGAATGTGGAAATTACTCAATTCTGCGTGGTCAATCAGAGTCCTCAAATAACAATAACCACCTCTGATTGAAACAGGCAATTTGAAAACCACTGAAGCTAATATTCATGGAAAAATACTTCCTTATCAGTCATTATCGGTAGGCATTTTTAAAATAGGTTTACCCGGTATTACAAAATGCAGAGTTGCTGTTACAAACACGATAGATATCGACTAAGAGAGTGAATTTCAATTTTTAGGGACCACAGAGAACTTGAAAGTTGGCGCTTTCTTCTGTATACTAACTTTCACTAATGGCTATAATTGAGGTTTGACAACCCACTTACTCAATCCATTTTTTTTCAGTTTTGTCACAGTAGAATTTCAGATACAAATATTGTCTACAATGTAGAGCTAGGTTACCTGCAGATTTAACCATGATTAACATTTTAAACCTCCCACTGGACATGACCTAGGTCTACATTGAAAACACAGTATGTTCATCTTTTTATTGTGCCTGTATTTCCATCATAAGATCATGACAGGGGTAGGTAAATGTACTCCTCACAGGATCACAGGAGACTCACCACATATGGAGTAGGGCAGATCTTAGAGTACTTGTAGACTGGCACACCTTCGTTGATACATATGGTTGCAACCAGCTCACTCCATCTAACAACGAAGTGTGAGTGAATTGGGATTTACATCAAGCTAGCAATAATTCAGTTGGTGATCACATGATAATTGTTTCCGAAGTGAGTTGAGTGAATGTTGTTGCTGTGCTTTTACTTCTGTTTTGATACGTCTCCATGTGAAGACGTGATAAACCCTCCATGTGATGTCACGTCAGGTGAACTTTTTATTCAGCCAATCTGAGTGGAGGCTTCTAAATTCACGTTATGAGTGAGTGAGTGAGTGAGTGAGTATGGTTTTACGCAACTTTTAGCAATATTCCAGCAATATCACGGTGGGGAACACCAGAAATGGGCTTCACACATTGTAACCATGTCAGGAATCAAACCCGGGTCTTCAGCGTAACAAGCGAACCTGACCGCCCCTCACGATATGAGTGAGAATGGGATTTGGAGCTGAACATCTGATTTCTATACAAATGTTATAGTCACTTCCATGTCGAGAACATAACCAAAATGTTATCATGAGCTCATATCATCACATCAAAAAGATGCTCAATCAAGGGGACATTGGTGTTTTGTGTTGTTTGTTCTGTTCAGACCAAAATTATTTCAGATTTGGGAACAGACAATGCGATTTACAATGATCTGTGTTGATAAAATATAGAATATAGTTATGCATTATTTTTAAAGAAAACACCTTACCAAACTTCTACTACTCCAATCAAACAATCAAACCAAAGGAATCGGTGATATATTTATAGTTCTTGTCTATACCATGTATACTTACTTCTGGCTGTTGTGTCTGGCATCGTATCCCACCACCAGACCATTCTTCTTGGCATCTGGAACCGACGCTATAAGGTACTTCACCAGACCCTGATCAAGATGAATATATGACACTTATTTATGAATAGCAACTGATGAAGATAATTCACAATTATGACATGATTCCTTGTGGATAACAATTACATAAACATCCTCTAATAATTGCAAAACAACTGGCTAAAGACAAGCAGTGAATTACCTGAGGGCTGTATTTAAAATAACTTTTGCTGGTGTAGTGGCCATTTTGAATTTTTCAAAATCAAACTCGAATTTTGCTATAGCTAGGGACATATGTTTGAAATCTCAACATAGTGTAAAAACTTACCTATGTATAAGCCAAGGGTGTTTGTAGAAAAACATGATACTAGTGCAGTGAAAGCAGACAAAGTGAAAACCGGGTAACCCATATGACATAAGCTCCTGTTGATGTCAACAACTCGTCAAGTTGAATAGAAAAAGTGATATTTGAGCAATACTACTGGTAGACATAATTCAAGTTGTTTCTTGGATGGGGTATTTGTTTGACAAGACTTACCTGTGTTGCTTGGATGATCGTGAGGTCATTCATCATGGAGTAGCCAGCTCCCATCCTCGCCCGAAGACCTGAGGCACAGAAGACACACAGTCATCACAGCACCACAAGTGCATCCTTTACGATTAAAAGTTATCTCTGCAAATTTCCCAGTGTTTCCAATGTCTTTACACTCCCATTCGAGCATACTAATCATCTTGAAAAACATATATAACTAAATCAATTTGTTCAACAAAATAAACAATCAATTGACATAAATTGTTTTCCAAAGTATGTGCTAAAATGTTTGCATTTGAAGTAAAAAAGCTTATCTGTGGCTGCAGTGATAATCTGATTAACAAACTAAATATCAACAAGACACTATTCTTGTCAGACACAAAGTGGTTAAGTAATTTTGCTTTGTACGACACTCCAACAATATCAAAGCAGGTCCACGGAGAATAGGCTCCACATGTACCAATGTGTGAAGTCAAACCCTAGGCATCAGCATGATGTGAAACCCAGGCTCCATCTGTCCCGATAGCACAGAAATGCACTGATGACAGCAACCTTTTTCATTTGACGTCTGAGTTTGTTCTGCCCATGTTAATGTTTATTCTGCCTATGTTTAAGTCTGGTCAGCTCATATTCATGTCTGCTCTGCCCATGTTTAAGTCTGGTCAGCTCATATTCACGTCTGCTCCGCCCATGTTAATGTTTATTCTCCCCATGTTTAAGTCTGGTCAGCTCATATGCACGTCTGCTCCGCCCATGTTAATGTTTATTCTGCCCATGTTTAAGTCTGGTCAGCTCATATTCACGTCTGCTCCGCCCATGTTAATGTTTATTCTCCCCATGTTTAAGTCTGGTCAGCTCATATTCACGTCTGCTCCGCCCATGTTTGTGTCTGCTCTGCCCATGTTTAAGTCTGGTCAGCTCATATTCATTTCTGCTCCGCCCATGTTAATGTTTATTCTCCCCATGTTTAAGTCTGGTCAGCTCATATTCACGTCTGCTCCGCCCATGTTTGTGTCTGCTCTCCCTATGTTTAAGTCTGGTCAGCTCATATTCACGTCTGCTCTGCCCATGTTAATGTTTATTCTCCCCATGTTTAAGTCTGGTCAGCTCATATTCACGTCTGCTCCGCCCATGTTTGTGTCTGCTCTGCCCATGTTTAAGTCTGGTCAGCTCATATTCATTTCTGCTCCGCCCATGTTAATGTTTATTCTCCCCATGTTTAAGTCTGGTCAGCTCATATTCACGTCTGCTCCGCCCATGTTTGTGTCTGCTCTCCCCATGTTTAAGTCTGGTCAGCTCATATTCATTTCTGCTCCGCCCATGTTAATGTTTATTCTCCCCATGTTTAAGTCTGGTCAGCTCATATTCACGTCTGCTCCGCCCATGTTTGTGTCTGCTCTCCCCATGTTTAAGTCTGGTCAGCTCATATTCACGTCTGCTCTGCCCATGTTAATGTTTATTCTCCCCATGTTTAAGTCTGGTCAGCTCATATTCATTTCTGCTCCGCCCATGTTAATGTTTATTCTGCCCATGTTTAAGTCTGGTCAGCTCATATTTACGTCTGCTCTTCCCATGTTAATGTTTATTCTCCCCATGTTTAAGTCTGGTCAGCTCATATTCATTTCTGCTCCGCCCATGTTCATGTCTGCTCTGCCCATGTTCATATCTGCTCTGCCTTTTCCATGACTCCAGCTCTTCTTCAGTGGATGGTGTTCACCCACTTCTACATCTACTCTGTAAAGGTTTCAGATGTAACTACTCGCATAGATCTGCACTCTGACGATTTTACCAACCTGCTGTGCCAAACTCCATCCTCTGAAGCAGGCGTTTCTTTAACTCATCAACATTCTTCTCCAAAGCCAGTTGTCGGATCTCAGCACGATTCTTATCATTCTACAATAGAAATAGTTGCAAAGAAAATAGTTCTGGATGTAGTATTGCACAACTTTTAGCACTCTTTTGTTATTTGTGCTACCTGTTTAGTTCCTCTTCATATATGCCTTACAATGAGAGGGTAAGTGAATCTAACTTTAATGCTGCTTTGAATATTTCAGCATGTCAGCTTAATGTAGGAGGAAAGCCAAAAATGACACAGGTGATAGATTTTTGCAATTTGGTAAACAGGTATTGTGTTGATTGACCAAAAATCATTATCAAGAAAAAATCCAAACTACAATTTGTGGATCCTGGCATGAGAAAAAGCACAACTCTGCTGTGTGTGACTCAAACTGCTGTACCACTATCACGACTTTAACCCAAATATCTATAGAGATATTCAAGCAAAATACAGACAATGGTTAAGGATGATCTCAAAATTGTAACAGTTAGAAAATGAATAAGTTTGCCAGTCAAACTTATAAACTCTTCAATTTGAGTGTATTTATACAGAAGACAATTTTTTGAATGAAATGTTAACACTATATATAATAACAGATTAGATTCTGAAATGCCAAAAAAAAGTTTAAGTTGAACCTTGTTTGTACCTGTAGTTTGAATTATCCTGGGTTTGAGACAACCAACAAAAGGAATTTACAAAAAGCAAACATCATGTTATTAGAGATTATTACCAGGTCCTGATGCAACACTAGTTTTCAAGGCATGCATAAATGTCAGTGCCGAGGTTCCTGGTAGTGAAGGGGGGGGGCTACTCGGGCATATCATTGATCTCACTATCGCCGTCTGGATCAGCGTAGTATACTTCATAGCTTGAACACCTTGATAGAACTGGAATATTGTTCAAAGCGGAGTTAAAGTCAACTGACTGACTCACTCACTCATAACTCAATTAAGATTCACTAACATAATCTTAATCTGCTTTACTCATTTCTCAATGTTCATTTGTCAAAGGCGTGAGAACACTTTTGTCATTTGCTGCCAGTGTGTATAAAGCAGTCAGCTTGCACCTTTGATGTGACTGGATATTGGCATGTTATCAGAAAGCATCCTGCAGTGAGAACAGTCATTTGTGTTTCAGGTGAGTTGAAAATTAGGTGGGTGTGGACTTTATTTTCGATTTTGAACTGTTTGAGACATCGGGGGAATTTAATGCTTAATTTGGATACTTGGGACTCCCAAATGAGTTCAAGACAACCGTTCCATTTGACAGATCAACATATAGAAGGAATTCCCAGGGGACAGAAGCTGAATTCGAAACAACCAGGAATTTGTTACATCTAAGTTTGACACAATGATTGAGGTTCAACGTCATACTGTATATAACTTCCAGTGTAGGGACTTGCTATTTCAGAGCCCCATAGCTACCCAGCTCCCATCTTAGCCTCCAGACAGAAGTCACACAATCATCACAGGATAACGAAGTACAACATTGTACAACCTGTAAAACTTGTTAACATTTTTCGCAATCATTATATATAATTGGCAAAGGTATAATTAACATGAAAAACATAACAGCCTGTCCATGATCAAATAATCGCCAATTTATTGTGGATATCTCTCATGCCATACAGTTATGTATTTCAGTCAAGGCTATCCAGGCAATTCATTCATCTGAAGTATCCCTATCCTGGCACTAATACCACACTGACTGAACTGACAGCTGTGGTCTGAATACAGTACAGGTAATTTGCCATAATATTAAAGCACCTTGAGTCCTTAGAAAATTGACAAAGGAAGGGTGCTTACTAAACCACACATGAGACAAAATTGTTTTCAGAGATAGAGTGGTTGAGAACACAACCTTAGTTCATATGTTGATTAAATAATAATTTCAATAATAATCACTTGGCAATTACATACCCCTTCTGCACTGTTGTTTTCTCTAATAAATGTATAATATACACAAGTAAATATGGACAGACTGTCTTGTAAATTGTCAGTCTTATAAGGAGCCCTTATAAAGATAACTTACAGATTGAACTATAAGTTGTCAGGGGTGCTTAATGGAGCAAGGTGTTTAACTCTGTGAATATGATGTACTGTATCATGCAGATTTTGTTCTTCTTCCTTTGTCTTTTTTGACAGTTCAAAATGCTTGAGGGCTTGAAATAGTACCAATTAATTTCCATTTATTCTCTGGCCCTTATTTTCAGAGAGGGGCTTGAAATGTTTATAATAAGACATGGTTTTCTTTCCAAGCATTTATCCTACCCATCATTAGTGACCAAATAATATTTTGCATTTATATACACCAAAAAACATACCTATTTTTAAAGCATCTAAAACGCCAAGTGAAAGCAGCCAGGCAGACAGACACAGACACCACACAGAGGTCGATATCAGTGCAATAATCTTTAGTGCGACGTTAAACCCCATTTCACCATAAGGGTATATACAATACGTGGAACAAATGTCACTGGCCTACAAAAAGAGCTCCTTGAGTTCTCAGCCTTGGTTCTTATGGGTCGGCCTCATGATTTATTAAGGTCTGTATTGTGATATATTGCCATTGACATGTTTATGAGTTATGTAGCTGGAAGATGTACAGTGATGTAAACAAATGACTTCTTGTTGGCTGTGTTGATGTGCAGACAGTAACAACATTTGAATCATGTTAATACTAGAGACAATAACTAAGTACTCTCAGGGGTGCTGAGACATATGTGTTGTGAGATTGCTGGTTCCTTCTGCATATTTCCTGTGTACTAAAAATATTACTCTTCCAAAATTATTAATTTATTTTGTAAACAGGCGACTTAATGGAATGGGTGGTCAGACTTGGTGTCTAGTCATGACTCAATTATTTACTGGCCCGCATCATATAGCTGGAACATTGAAGAGTCGGGCTTTAAAAAACAAAAACATTAGTAATGGCCATCTTGACTCACATAATGCCATCAACACAAATCAGATGGAAGAAAGAACACTCACCAACATAAAGACATTTTTTATTCACAAACAATTCCAAGTACTTTTTTATTCTGTCAAAGGAATGTAATACAGAAACTTCAAAGTAAGTTGAGAGGAATGATAGGGAATATTACATAGTGTGACACATAAATCTTGATTAACTGTACAGACTTTGGTGACACAAATAGCATATGTTCCATTATGAACCCTCGATTATCCAGTGTATCATATGTCCATTCTATTATGATAAATACCCTGGACCCATTCGTCATCATCTCCATTTCTCTTAGAACAGTCCATGAGGTGAGGTAAGGTGAAATTGGGTTTAACGTCGCGTCCAAGATTATTGCACTTATGTAGCGACGTGCATGCACGTGTGTGTATGTGTGTGTGTGTGGCTGCTTGTACTAGTCCGGACTGATGCCGATTTATAGTGCTAGCTCACTGAGATACCATGCCGCAGTTTAACATGAATACCCCACTCAGACATAGTATACTGACTCTGAGCCAACCAGTCCTTGCTTTAGCCCCTTAATGCCGAGCGCCAGACAGGGTAACAACAAGTACCATCTTTTAACATCTTTTGGTATGACGAGGCCGGGGATCGAACCCCGGACCTTCCACTCTCCGGGCGGACGCTCTGCCACTAGACCACGGAGGCGGTAACAGTCCATGAGCAGTGGGGTAGCCTAGTGGTTAAAGCTTTCACTTGTCATGCCAGAGACCCTGGGTTCAACTCCCCACACGGGCACAATATGTGAAGACCATTTCTAGTGTCCCCTGCTGTGATATAGCTTGAATATTGCTGAAAGCGTTTTAAAACCATAATCACTCAAAACAAAGCTATGGTAGCGAATGGGGATATACTACCCTTGATAATCGAGGTTGTCATCATGTATGCTGTGTCTTGTATCATCATCACACATTTTGCACAAAACCAATATGACAGAGCCTCACTAGATATGAGTGACCCATTTTGCCTTGTTAGTCAATGTATAAATTATAGTAACGATAACTATCAAGAAAGGATTCTCACATCTTATTCATGAGAGAAATGGAACCAGGCATATGACTTGATAAGCAGTGATAAGTACACTAAGAAACTGGTAACACTACATCCCTAGTTCGTGAAACCCTTCTAAGGTACAAACAATTACAGCAATATTTAAACACTCATGAGATTGTGAGTTGCAGTCTGCACCTCAGCATGTTTAGTCCAAAACCCAAGTCCAGTAAAATTACCTTTCAGTTTGTTAACTTAGCAAGCACTTGAAAGCCCACATATTTACACCTAAATCTACTGAATATAATACAGTCTGAAATGTACCAAGTTTAACACTATTTCAGCATCGTATAGTCACATCACTGTGTGTTGTGAGATTAAAGGCAAAAGTAATGCAGGTCATAGATTAATTCCTCAAACAACAGATGTGATGCTGACAAACTAAGTCTCTAAATCAGGGACAATCTTGTATCTGAAGCAGAGATCCGTGGATCCTCGCATGGCTAAGGAATGCAACTCACAGTGAACATCTATTATCTTGTATACCCCTGTCCTTGTATATATATACAAGGTTAGGTATTATTTAGAACACAGTCTTAACATAACATCCACTATTGTGAAATAGACTGTTTCTTGATGTCAGTACATGAGTCTCCAACATCGTCAGATGAGAACTTCCTTTTACGTTGAGCACCAACTGTTTCCCACAGACAACGGTCTCCATTGTCTTCTTCATTTTCATTTCCAATGACCATATTTCCTTCACGGAAAACAAGATAACTTGTATCCTCTTCCCCTGCTGGCTCTTGCTTGATTGGCATTATCTCCCCTTGATCACCCTCATAGGTGGCGCCACTTTCCTTGGTCTTACTACAAGCACTCTTCTTCCTACTCATTACCAACTGAACTATTTCAGAAGGTTGCCCCACAAACTGACAATTCACCATAACTGGATGTCCAAACTCTGAAATATAATTTTCATGAAGCCTGTACAAGCCAAATCCACTTTTCCCTCTCTGCAGCTCTGTCATGAGAAACTGGTGAAGGAAATACAAGGCCTGGATCAGGACATCCATGGTTGCCT